ATCTCACCTCCCTGGCCACGTTGGGCCACTCCAGGAAGTGGGATCAGGACCCGCGGCTCTCCCCCTGCCTGCAGTGCGTCAGTGCTGCTGGCTCCTGCTGCCCACCACCGCTCCTCAGGCTCCGCAGAACGCACCCGGAGCTGCACATGCGAGGGGAACGATGCTTTATTGGAGCTTGTCCTGAACCGCAAAGGCTTCTCCAAACACGCTGCCAGAGCCCCCCGCTGCCAGCCCAGCTCTTCCCTGGATGGGAAGGACTGACGGCCCGTCCCCGAGCCGCTGAGGAGGTTGGAGGGTGCAGAGGCACCGGCTGCGTGCGGGATGGGTCAGTGCTGAGGGCCCAGGGCGCACACAGCACGAGGTTTGTATGCGGCCAAGTCCGCAGGTGCCCGGAACAAGCTACAGCCATGGCCCAGCGCAGGAGGAAGAGAGGGACAGGGAACACCAGAGGCAGCACCACGGGGACTGCCCACTGGTTTCCAGCAGGGGGAAAAAATGGGAAAATGAGAGGTGATGCCACGGACGCGGAGCAGAGAGCTGATCTGTGATACGTTATCTCCAATAACTGTTCTCCGTACCACAGTGGAGAGAAAACGAGGGCATCTCCTTCCCTTTTCCCTGGACAAGAGAGCACTGGAGCGAGATGCGGGCTGTGCGTGGGACGCTACATCAGCACCTGCGTGGGTCCAGGGTCCTGCACTTGCTTTCCTCTCCTTCCCTCCCCCAGTGAGGATCGTCCCTTCCCGGCGACGAAGGATGTTGGCGCAGAGCAGCACAGCACACCCAGCCCCACCAGCTCAGGAGTCCATCTTCTCCTTGATGAAGACTTTGGGCCTCGAGAAAATTCGGATGGCCTCCTCTATCTGGGAGAGCTTCCTCTCCAGCTCGACCCGCCTGTTCTGCACGCTGAGGGTGTCCGCGCGCACCGGCAGCATCACCAGCTCCTTTATCAGCTGCTCCTGACCTGTGGAAACAAAAAAGCAGCAGCGAGCTGCACACGTGGAAGAGCAAAGAAATCCGTCCTCTTCCCAAGCCTGTGACCTCATCCTCAGCCATGAAAATGGCAGCAGCACAGGAACTTGGAGAGAATCCTACCCATCCTTCGATTCACAGCTCAGCTGGAGTGACCTGCTCCTGCTGTGACGAGCCAAGGGATGGACTAGAGACCTCTGAAGGTCCCTTCCAACCCAAATCTAGCAGTAACCCTAACATCAGATCCACTGGACAAACCTGCTCCGGAGAGCCAGGCCCCTGTCCTGCAGGTCCCACCAACCGGAAGGAGACTGCTGTGTCCATGTGCACAGCTCAGGTGCGGCAATACGCCAGCTACATGCTCCCAGCTCTCCGAGTGGCAGGAATCTGTGCCCCAGAACTCTCCTCTCCCTAATCCTGGCTAGGATTGCCTGGTTTTCTGAGCTGGAACCCTCACTATTTTTCCTCTTACTCTGCTCCAGCTTGCTGAGGGTCTCCAGCCGCTCCCCCTCTGGCATCATGGTATGACCAGGCGGCGTGTCGGGATCCGGCAGGTTGCGCAGCCGCTCCTCCCTCTGTCTGCGCCACAGCTCCTTCCTCTCCAGCAGGCTGGCAAGGCAAAGGAAAGCACGCCTCAGCACATCTGGCAGGAAGGACCACATCTGGGGGGGCCACAGGACACGCTCGAAACCCCAGGACGCAAGTCACTAGCTGGATGTTCCTCAGATGCCGGGTGCAAGGCAGGACGAACGCCTGCGAGGCAGAGCAAGCCGTCTGCCTCCCCGAAAGGACACCTTTACATCCCGTGGAGGAGCAGGGGCACATCCCAGAGCATCTACCTCTCAGCAGCACGTAGCAAGGGAAGAGAAGACTGAATTCTTTCTGAGCCTGGCCATCCTGGCCATGGGGATGCTCATTAAATTCCCAAACCAGAAGGAATTGCATTTATTCCCCAGGCTGCTCACACGTGGTGAAGGCATCTCCCTCTCTGTCCAGGCAGAGGCCGGGGGAGGCAGTGAAGGGAGCTGGGCTCATTACGGAAAGGCTGGTGGAGCAGAGAGGGGCATACGTACTACTGGGGGACATGACCCTTTTGCTTGGCGTTGTACTCTTCCTGCTCCCGGTGCTTCTGCTCCAGCAGCTCGTCCAGCGCCTGCAGGGACTGGGAGCGCCGCAGCGGGGCCCGCTTGGCATTGCGGGCGTTGTGCTTGATGAAGTCAATGCCTCTGCCCTCCACCTGCATCTGGGAGAGGAGAGAGGGAGGCAGCGGGGCCAGCTCGGTGCACTCACACGGGCAACCGCCCATGTCCCCGCGTGGGACAAAGCAGGGGCACCCACACAAGGAACGGAATTCCAGGTGTACTGCAGCAGGACAGGCTTCCCTCCAGCCCATCCCCCCCCCAAAAAAAAAAAGGAGCTATGGCCACATTTTGAGAAGAAACCAGTGCCAGAGCAAATGTCAGAAACCCCTGGCGTGCCACGGTTTGCCTGGCTTTGGTGCCAGGCAGACTTTAATCCCATCTTTTTGAGGTCCCCAAGCTGACCCCCCGCCCTTAGAGCCAGAAGGACAGAGGCGCCAGGCTGACACAGCCGCGTGGCTCCTGCTGCTGTTCTGAGCCCATCAGACAGGTCAAAGGTCAGAGGAAAAACTGGTCGGGCCTTTCCCAGACCAGTAAATGTGACAGAACCCCTGGCAGAGCAGGAACTGAGCTGGGCCCCGGGGGTGTCTCCTCAGACAGCACCCTCTGCCCCAGCTCCTCTAGGGGTCAGGGAGCAGGGGGGAAGGTCGCTGGGATTGAGTTCAAGCTTTTCTTGGTTTTCCTCCTTAGGGGTTTACTGTCTGTTTCAATTCAGTCACCCCATGACATCTGGGAAACAACAAATGGACAACCCCACGCTGGCCAAGGAAAGAAAACAAGAGTCACAGAGCAGTTCAGGACCTTCCAGACAGACCACCTGAAAGGTTTAACTGATAATACTGATTAACTCTCCTTAATAAAAAGCACACCCATTTCACGAATTTTTATCTACGTCCAGAAGCCACAGTTCCTTTGATTAAGGTGGGAGCAGCCTCCAAATCCTCAAGACCTCCTGCACAGCAGGAAGAGCAGATTTGAGATCACTGGCACTTCTCAGTGGGATTTTCAAAGGGAACCTCATGGTCTCTTTAACCATGAGTGAGGATGAAGCCAGAGGGTAGCACCAGCCCGTCTCACACCCCAGTGACCAAGGCCCCTTCCCCTCGGCCAGGAAGAGTATTTACAGATCTCCCTCCTCCCCAACGCTTTAGAGGAACACATGAAGCGGGTAAGAGCCAGAAACCCCTGGGAGCAACTCACCTTGACTTCAGCGCCCAGTCCCTCTGCAGCCTCTGTGTCTGTCCCTGCTCCCGTTCTGGCAGGCCTTGGGGAGGGCGGCCTGCACGGCTTGATGCCAGGGCCACAGCGAGAATACGCCCTCAGGAATTTCAGAGCCGCTGGATTTGGAGGTGGGGAGCCCTCCTGGGAAAGGCAAGAAAAGACACACTGGCAGAGTGAAGCTGGAGCAAAGAGAAACCCACCCAGCAAAGTTTGGGTGGTCAACCCCACGTTTCTGGCGGGCAGATGACAGCACGCTCTTTCTGCCACCACTTGGCAGCAGTTCCTGGGAGGAGACAACCTGTACTTGGCCAGCAAAGGCCGAACGGACTGCCTACGGCAACAAATCCGGACCTGGCAGCTGAACTGTGTAAAGAAACGCTAGAAAAAAGGGAAAAATCTGCAGGAACACGCGTTTGGATCACGTGTGTGTGTGGAGTTGGCTGGAGGGTCCCTCTTTACTGACAAATCTGGGAGGCATGGAAGGAGAGCAACGCCAGAGACACCCCCCAGGGCTCGGGATAATCCAAACGGATGGACAGTCCATACTGACAGTGACAACGACTCCTTAAAAAAGCAGGCGGCTTCCTGTGAAAAGGCCCGATGGCAGCGCGGAAAGTCGAGAGGGACCCGCCAGTGCCCCTTGTTGGCAAGAACAGAGAACCTGAGCTCTCACAAGCCATCCCACCTCCATGAATCCGGAGCATGCGGCAGAGCCCTGCTCCAGCAAGCTGTAACGGAACGGCACTGGGAGGCATGATGCTGGCACAAATCGGCTGCCGTTCCCAAATGCTGCTCTGTTCCACATCCCAGATCTGTGGTTATCCTGACAGGAAGAGGAGCGGGGAGCAAGGGAGTCCGGGAGGCATCTCCGAAGGCCACGCTTAGCATTGGCACAGGGCGACACTGCTCCACGTCTATTGGGCAGTCTGCAACGAGGCTCTCTGAGGCCAAACAAAGTCGGGAAGGTGGAAGTTGACCCTATGGGAGCAGGAGACTGTGCAGCCAGGGCACTGCTGTGCCCTTGGCAGGGGCAGGAACACGCAGGGCAGCCCCCAGCTCTTCAGGGGTAGCTGGATCCCAGCTGCTCTCAGCTGAACTGCAGTGCCCGCGGGGCAGACTCCCCGTTGCCTGGCCCACCTGGCTTGGCAGGCTGAGGGTGGGGGAGGACAGTAACGCCAGCGGTTTTGGTGTAAGGGTCAGGGCACACGCCGCCCAGACGGATCGTGCTCCAAAGACGAGCGGTCAGCAGGAGCCGGGAGATGCAGATCTGCCCGGTACGTTAACGAGAAGCGCCTTTGCCTAGCGCGGCAGGTTCCAAGTCTGTGATCTCAGGAGCGTGTTGGCAGAGCGCAGCGTGCCCCGTCTCCCTCCACGGCAGCACTGAGGCTGCCAGAGCCCTTTTCAAGGCAGCTGCTGCCATTAACAGCCTCGGGGACAGACGAGAGAAAAGAAACTTGGTGTTCGACACCAAGACCTAACAGAAGCACCTTATTCTCTGAGCAGCAGCTCCAGAGAAGGTGGGGATCCTTCAAAGGAAACACCTCAGCTCTAGGAGAGCCGCAGGAACAGCTAAAGCATCGTGAGTCAGCGCCGGGGCTTCCTGCCACCTCTCGCTGGAGGAATCCACGGAGCATAAGTAACGCACCACGCAGAAGCTGCCTGCGCAGAGACCACCCCCTTTCCCCAAAACAAAAGAATAAATCATCTCAATCTTCCTGTAACTCAGAGGATTTGTCAAACAGGAGCGTAGGCTTGTGTTCCTAGAGCACACGTGGGTTTGCTGCCGTGTGTGGAAGGGTCACGGACGTCAGAGGGGTTGGTGGCACACCGGGAAGAAGGGATACAGCATTTGAAACCACTCGGCTTGAAAATCGTCTTGCCAACTCGTACAGTTGTTATCAACACACGTAATTATAGTGTCAAACGTTGGCCCGAGGGCCACAGGCCAGAGGGAAGCAAAGCAGACATGAGCCTCGAGCATCCCCCAGCTCACACCCGCCACCTGCACAAGCTCCTGTCTACAGCCCGGTGGAAAAATTATCAAGAGAATGAAAAAGAAAGAAGCCAAAAGCTACCCAAAACCTTCACAGAGCCAAACACGGCTCGGAACGGACGGCAAGAACGTTTCGGCAGTTGAAGAAGCCTGAGGTGACAAGCCACGGCCGTGCATCCCTGCTCTCCCAAGCACGCGTGCAGAGGACAGGCGGCACGTACACCCTTTGCAGGCTGTGCTGGAGCTACCAGCCTCCCGCCTGCCTGCCTGGAGGTGCCCGTGTGCTCTCGTGCTCAGAGGTTATTCACCAGGACAATCACTCAGAGAAGAACATGGAGATACACATCCCACCATGGCTCCGCAGGGTGGGAAGAGTTGGACCAGGGTTTGATGCAGCCTGAAGACTCACCTCAGAGGACCACGATCCATGGGGCAGGATACAACAGCCTCTTGGCACAAACCCCAGATAAGTGTTGCCCCAAACAGTGGGAAGCCAAAACGCCAGCTGGATGCACCTCTCGACAGGGAGTGTGGCTGTGCGGGCTGCTCCGCACCCCACAGGAACCGCCTGCGGATCCCTGACCACCGAACGGCCAAGCAGGAGCCTCCAGGCAGAGGAGGCTTCCCCTGCATGGGGATCTACCTGCCCAGCCGGGATGGGCACCACGACAGCAGTCCCCCCTCGGCCCAAGCCCCACGTTCTCGCCCCGCACCCAGCCCCACTGTCAGGTCTGCCCGTTGTGCCTCAGCACCGCTGCAGGTTCTGGGACTCCCCCATCCCCCTGAGCCTCACAGCTGAACCACATCCCAGGCCAGGAGGGCTCAAGTGCCCCGTGGGGACCAACCTGCAGTTTGGCCTTCACCTTTGACTCCACGTTTTCATACTTCTGGGATTTCCAGAGAGCTTTCACAGGCTTGGGCTGGCTGTGCTCTTGGGCTCGCTCCTTCTCTTTGCACTTCTTCTGAATCTCCTTTATTCGCCTCACATTTTCCTTCTCGTGGTCCTTGG